TTTGCTTAGTGAGGTGATCCACATTTCTTTTCTGAAGGGGACAAACCATAGTCTTGCTCAAAAACAGACACATAGATCAATGGAACAGAATAGAGAACCCAGAAGTGGACCCTGATCTTTATGGTCAACTAATATTCGATAAAGGAGGAAAGACGATCCACTGGAAGAAAGACAGTCTCTTTAATAAATGGTGCTGGGAAAATTGGACATCCACATGCAGAAGAATGAAACTAGACCACTCTCTTGCACCAGACACAAAGATAAACTCAAAATGGAGCCATATTTGGAGCTCAATCTCATGATCCTGAGATCACGACCTGACCTGAAATCAAGGGCTAGATGCCCAACTGACTGCACCACCAGGTGCCTCCATCCCTACATTTTAAAGTCCTTCCTCTCTTATACTTCCTCTGAAGTCTTTTCATTGGCTGGTATCATAAATATATTTTAGAACCAGTCCATTAATGACTTCAAAAGTCTCTATATTTTGGCATTGGCATTATGCAAAGAAAACATATTTTCTTTTTAAATTTGGGTTTTAGGGATCCCTGGGTGGCGCAGCAGTTTGGCGCTTGCCTTTGGCCCAGGGCACGATCCTGGAGACCCGGGATCGAATCCCACGTCGGGCTCCCGGTGCTCAGAGCCTGCTTCTCCCTCTGCCTATGTCTCTGCCTCTCTCTCTCTCTCTCTTGGTGTGACTATCATAAATAAACAACAACAACAAAAAATAAATTTGGGTTTTATTCAGACTTTATTTGACAAAGTGGAATACAAAGATACCCTAAATAGGACACAATCATATATATGACTAATTGTAACACACACAGGACAGAAATACACATCAAAGCTGGTCATTCTGTTAACTCCAGAATGATTAAATTTAAGTAACACTAAAACATTATAACATTATACAAAATCTAGTCCACTATTATTTTTTCCACAAGAATGTATCTACTTAAATAGACAATAAATACTTTTTTACTAGCATTCAGATTATTAATTTAAAAACGAATCTTCAGGTAAGTCCTTATAGTCAATGATTACCTAGGTTTAATTTTCACAGATTACGGTAATAATAAGCTTCTGATGAAATGTTCATGAAAGAGTTTCGTATATATACATATTTAATACTAAATTCTATCTACATTAAATATCATCCTTTGATTATTAAGAGTCTATTAACATTCTTTAGTTATTTTCTTCCTATATAAGGAAAGGAGTAATTTAAATAAAATTAAAAGCAATATATCCTGTAAAGAACAAGAAATATATTCTTATGTCAAAAGTATCCACAAAATTTGTCTGTGTACATTTATATTTGCCATTTACTTTATAGATATACTTATTTCTTATTAAATGTAGAACTAGCTTTCTGCCAGAATAATAAACATCTCAAAGGATTTTGGTTTTTATATATTCATAAGCAAAAAAGAAAACAGCTCAATTCTTTGAAGATGATATGTGATGACATATTGTGACAAAGAGCAATGTGTGAGGCTTAAGATTTCCTAACAAGACTATCCTCAGAAAGCACTATGTGATATAATAAAGAATAAACACACCCTTTTTATGCCAGCAGACATAGGTAATCAGACATAAGTTCACATTTTGAATAGTTTCTAAAGGTGAGCAAAACTACTTCTATTTTTAGATGGAGCATTCTTTTATGTCTGCCATGTTGTTTTTGTGCACATGTTGATTGCCATTGGGAAGTAAGTGAGAAATAACATTGAAGTAGATTGAACACATTGTGAAGACACATTATTTTCCACTGAACATATGTTTAACTTGTGTGAATTCCAATTTCTTTATTCAGAAGTTGGATTAACTGTGTAAAGCCATGTCTCCAATACCGCCCTAACTGCATTTTATTAATATGTGATTAAGTAAATGTTGACTGAGCTAGGGCTCAGAATGGGAGATTCTTAGTGAAATAATAAGGGCATCAAATGTGGTTTATGTAACAGAACTAAACTAAACACATTTAGTTTTCCAGAGGTTAACATACAGGATTTTTTTTTTAATTTTTTTAATTTATTTATTTATGATAGTCACAGAGAGAGAGAGAGGCAGAGACACAGGCAGAGGGAGAAGCAGGCTCCATGCACCTGGAGCCCGACGGGATTCGATCCCGGATCTCCAGGATCGCGCCCTGGGCCAAAGGCAGGCGCCAAACCGCTGCGCCACCCAGGGATCCCAGCATACAGGATTTTTGAAGAAGAAAGTCACATAATAGTATAAGGCCTACTTCCTGGTTTTGTTATAGATTGAAATTGCCCAAGATAGATTCAGTATTCAAAGAATTTCCTGCAACATGAACATGACTGGAAAAATAATTTTCAACATTAAATTTGGTGAACTGCTGAACTTTGTTAATATTTTTTGCACTGTTCAATTTAATTTTAATAAATTGCATAGCTCTGGCTAATTACAGCTCTCATGACAAATCACTGAGTAGCCAGGAAACTGGGAGGTCTCGAGTTTACATGGCTAGTCTAAGTCACACAAACCTGGATCTCCTTTGCCAAAAGCTGGTATGTCCCAGCAGGGCTCATCTTCAGTCCTGAAGTCTGGGGGGGTGCACAAATCACCCTGAAGCTAAAGCCATACAATGGGTCCTATCCCCATCCTGATCATTACATTGAGGAAGTTCCCAAGCCCTCATCACAACCATCAGAGGGAAACTGAGGCACAGAGAGGCCATTCCTCACCTAAATCACCCAGGTGTTAAGAGGCAGAGCGACAGGAACACGACAGGGATGTCCACTCTCACCACTGCTATTTAACATAGTACTAGAAGCCCTAGCCTCAGCAATCAGACAACAAAAAGAAATAAAAGAAAACCAATGCGAAGGCATCACAATGCCAGATTTCAGGTTCTACTACAAAGCTGTGGTCATCAAGACAGTGTGGTACTGGCACAAAAACAGACACATAGATCAATGGAACAGAAGAGAGAACCCAGAAATGGGCTCTCAATTCTATGGTCAACTAATATTTGACAAAGCAGGCAAGACTATCCACTGGAAAAAGGACAGTCTCTTCAATAGATGGTGCTGGGAAAATTGGACATCCACATGCAGAAGAATGAAACTGGACCACTCTCTTACACCAGACACAAAGATAAACTCAAAATAGATGGAAGATCTAAATGTGAGACAAGAATCCATCAAAATCGTAGAAGAGAACACAGGCAACACCCTTTTTGAAGTTGGCCACAGCAACTTCTTACAAGACACAGCTATAAAGGCAAGGGAAACAAAAGCAAAAATGAACATTTGGGACTTAAGATAAAAAGCTTCTGTACAGCAAAAGGAACAGTCAACAAAACTAAAAGACAACCTACAGAATGGGAGAAGATATTTGCAAATGACGTATCAGATAAAGGGCTAGTTTCCAAGATCTATAAAGAACTTATTACACTCAACAGCAAAGAAACAAACAATCCAATCATGAAATGGTCAAAAGACATGAACAGAAATTTCACCAAAGAAGACCTACACATGGCCAACACGCACATGAAAAAATGTTCCACATCACTTGCCATCAGGGAAATACAAATTAAAACCACAATGAGATACCACCTCACACCAGTGAGAATGGGGAAAACTAACAAGACTGGAAACAACAAATGTGGGAGAGGATGTGGAGAAAGGGGAACCCTCTTGCACTGTTGGTGGGAATGTGAACTGGTGCAGCCACTCTGGAAAACTGTGTGGAGGTTCCTCAAAGAGTTAAAAATAGACCTGCCCTACGACCCAGCAATTGCACTGCTGGGGATTTACCCCAAAGATTCAGATGCAATGAAACGCTGGGACACCTGCACCCCGATGTTTCTAGCAGCCATGTCCACAATAGCCAAACTGTGGAAGGAGCCTCGGTGTCCATCGAAAGATGATGGATAAAGAAGCTGTGGTCTATGTATACAATGGAATATTCCTCAGCCATTAGAAACAACAAATACCCACCACTTGCTTTAACGTGTATGGAACTGGAGGGTACTATGCTGAGTGAAGTAAGTCAGTGGGAGTAGGACAAACATATGGTTTCATTCATACAGGGAATATAAGAAATAGTGAAAGGGATTATAAGGGAAAGAAGACAAAATGAGTGGGAAATATCAGAGGGTGACGGAACACGAGACTCCTAACTCTGGGAAATGAGCAAAGGGTAGTGGAAAGGGAGGTGGGCAGGGGGATGGGGTGACTGGGTAATGGGCACTGAGGGGGGCACTTGGCAGGATGAGCACTGGGTGTCATGCTATATATTGGCAAATTGAACTCCAATAAAAAAAAAAAAAAAAAAAAGGCAGAGCCAAATCCAAACAAATTGAAGCCAGGTGCTCCAGAGCCCCTACTCTAACCGCTGGGCTAGGCACGCAAAGGGAAACCTGATTCTGAAAAATCTGTTCTTCCTTCTGTTTTGCCAGAGTGGAGCTGAAGCTGGGAAGTAATCAAATACTGAACCAACCAACACTTTTGTATGCCAGTGTGCCAGGTGCAGACATCACCCAGAGGGCGCATGTTTCCTGGCAATGTCTATTCTCTGAGAGTGCAGTCTGCACCCCCACTTTCCTGCCCACTTCTAAGGGGGAGGTGCCCCTCACACCAGCACACGACAGTCCCTGGCAGGGGCCACCCAGCATGCCGGAATCATGGGCCTAGGAAGTGTGTCCTTTGAAGGAAACCCAGATGATTCTGTCTCTGAAAATCCCTGCTAATTTTTTTTAATGCAATGTCTACTTCATGTATATTTTGAGGGTAGAAAATTGCAGAGGTTCTGTTCACTGTTCTCATTTCTGTTCCTCCTCCTCCCCTGGCAAATGCATAATCGCTGTTTGGAAACTTTTATAAAGGAAGCGGTTGACTTTGCAGCCCATACAAGTGCAGGTGACAAGAGCTTCTGGTCAAAATGATTCAGCAAGAAACCATCCCGACCCGCACCTCCCCCATCAACCCACCCCACCCCCGCCCCCAAGCAGCACCCAGCCCCAGCGCGGCCGGCCCCTCCCGGCTCTCCAGCGCAGCCCTGGCCGCAGGCCCCAGCAGGCCCCAGCAGGCCCCAGCACCGACCCGTGGGCCCTCCGCTCCCTCCGCTCCCTCGGCTCGCAGCCATGCGGCAGGACGGGCAGCTGCTGCTAGCCGTGTGCGGCCTGCTTTGGAGCACCACCACCGGGGGCCCTCCTGCAGGTAAGAGCAGGCTCTCCCTGGGGCGCTCCACGCGGCGCTCCCAAGGCAACGTCCCCAGGTTGCCAGTGGTGGGGAGTGGCCTGAGCCTCCTGCCTGGGTCCCCAAGGCACACTGCTGGCTGGCCTGCCCCAGGTGACCTCGCTGTGGCAGGGGCAGTTGCCTGTGCGGGGCCCAGGGAAGGGGCTCTGGGACCTGCCTGGTGGCAGGGGCGACAGAAGCCTACTTTCTCCCCACCCCAGCCCTGTTCCCGAGGCTTACACAGGGCCCGGGAACCTTCGGTCCCAGGAAGGCTCCCCTGTGGCCCCCCATGCCGAGGGCTCTGGGAGGCCCGCGGTTTGTCCGTCTCTATCTGACGTCTGCCCTTCCTGCCCACAGACGGCTGTCCTGTGACTTAGGCTAAGTCCCCAGAGCCTAAGGATCAGATGCTTCCTGCCCACCCACCCAAAGCTGGGGGACAAGAGGAGGGAGGGTGCTGTGGCTGTGCTCCAGGAAACTGAGGCACAAGGACACTGGGTGTCCTGCCCAAGTTAGACAACCCAGGAACACCTGTCCTCACTAGAGCACAGAGGGGCAAGTGATGCCCTCCCATCACTGGGATCACAGGTGGTGGTTGCTGGTGGAGATGTAGAGAACCCCACCCCACCTCCTTGAACCTCTCAGCTGCTGGAGGGGTCACATGCTCTCATGGAGACACTTGCCTCTGGCCCCTGGATTGTCCCGAGTGGGTGCTGCACTTGGCCATCACAGGGAAAGGACACCCTGCCTCCTCTCTCTCCCCAACCCTCATTCTTTACTCTCATAGTGAAGATACCCCTGCCCTGCCTCATGGAGGCCTCTCTTCAGGATACCACTGTCTTCCTGTGCCCACCCCCATACCCATCCCAGGGGGACAAGTCAGGGGAAGAAGCTGGATGTTCAGAACAGAAAAGCACACTCCTCAAAACCTTAGTGAAGGCTCTCCTGGACACATGTGGAGCCTGCCATCATAACGGCACGGAATTTAATTATTAACACTCACTGTCAACTACTTTGCCAAGTTCCTTCTGTTTGTCTCCGTTTCCTCACCAGAGTGGGAACTGCATGGGGAATACAGAGACAGGTGGCACTGGACAATGGTTAGTGTCCTCTCAAGGGCAGGGCTGCCTCCCTCTGCGGCCACCTACTTCTGGACCAAACCCTCTCCAGTCCATGCCCACATCAGAGCACCTGCCCCATCGGAAGGTGGCGGAGACAGGCTCTCCCCGAGGCAGCAGCCCTCCCCTGCTGCTCTCAGACCTGCTCTCTGCCACTGAGAACCAGCTACAGAGTCCAGGGCCCACATTCACATGCAGAGACCCTTGGGGTACCACAGACTCCTCAAATCTACTAGCTGTGGAACCTGCAGCCTCCCTTAGCTGCAGGGTCCTCATCCATGAGATGATGGACGGTCCTCAGCACCCTTGGGCCTTGAAGAGGTCTGCCGGCAGTGGCCTATAGAAAGCATTCTCGCTGGGCTTGGGGTGCTTGGGAGCCACTTGCCCACATCCCTGCTCCAAGTATCTGCCACACTGGTAGCCTTCCCCCACACCCTACCTCTGCCCCTCCGAGGCAATCCCTTCTGGTGCTTCCTTCATTTGACAGATGCGGACCCCAGCAAGGGCCTGAGAAAGAGGGGCTTGGAGGCCCCTCTGGTGGTTGAAAAGAGATGGGAGCTCAGCCCAGAGCCAACTCTGTCCCCATGGCTCCCACAGCCTTTCCCTTCCCTCCTCTGAGAAGAGACCCCAGTGCCTTCCCGTGGTAGGGGGGCAACAGAGCCCCTGATAGTGGTGCCCTCTGGGCATATGAACCTCCCCATGCCCAGATGCTAAACTGCACTCATCTAAATGCAGAGCCCCGTGGCATCTTCCCTCCCTAAGCCCGTCAGGATTTCGGAAGTTGCCACATCAGTGTCCTCAGCCCTTTTATGTTCGTTGAAACCTTAAAGTCCTTCTTTCTCAACCTGTTACCTTCCCTGGGAAGCTCCACTGGGCTGTCCTGTCACACCCTGCCCCCTTCCCCTGCCCCCAGCCAATCTTGCAGTGGCCCATCTTCTCATTACAGGCCTTTACAATTAGTTGAACCTGGTTTAAACTCACCCTGCACTCTTCTGGGGTCCCAGTGTCTCCCCTGTAGAATGGGGATGCACACTTCCCCAAGAGTAGTGACAAGAAAGGAACAGCTCTAACTGTCCTGCTCCCCAGACTTCCACTGTGCAGCACATGCCCCAGACCACTCCCTCCATCCCTGAGGACAGCCCACGCCCCCCTAGTGGGGTTGGGACTGACCCCTGGCAGGGTCCCTGGGCCAACCAGCCCATGGTGTCTACTCAGCACCCACTTGGTGGCTTCCATTCTTTCCTGAAGGAGCTTCTTTGGGATGTTTATTCTCCAGGAGAAGGGTTTCCCTGCTGATTTCTCTTGAAGAATCCTAAAAGTAGATTTCACTTCCAACTTTTTAAAAAAAATTAACAGTGGAGCTTTTATTGTTTGTTTAGACAACTGCACTGATGAAGCTTTACTGACATGAAGCCCCATTTTAGGAAAACATGTAGTCAGATAAAAATAAACCAACTTAAGTACTTTCCCTAAACTTTTGGTAACATTATTAAAATCCTTAGGAAGTGACATGGGTTCCAACGAGATACGCATCTGAGATTCAGCCTCACCTACTTTCACTTCATTTTTTTTAAAGATTTTATTTATTTATCATGAGACACACAGAGAGAGGTAGAGACACAGACAGGGGGAGAAGTGGGCTCCCTGCAGGGAGCCCGATGTGGGACTCGATCTCAGGACCCTGGGGTCATGCCCTAAGTCCAAGGCAGACGCTCAACCACTGAGTCACCCAGGTGCCCCCCTTTTTTGAAAGAGAGACTGTGAGAGGGGCTGAGGGAGAGCAAGAGAACCCCAAGCAGAATCCCCCTTCAGCAGGGAGCCCAAGTTGGGGCTCCTTCTCATGACCTGAGCTGAAACCAAGAGTCAAACGCTTAACCAACTGAGCCACCCAGGCTCCCCTTTCATTTCATTTTTAATCTTGTTCAATTCAAGCTAAATTACATTTAATACATTTTATTTTAAAAGTCATTAACAGTGGTTACTAAGAGTGATTTCTAATTTGGGATACTAAGAGTGATAACTAATTTTGTTATACTTTTCTGTATTTCTCAGATCTCCTACCAAAACAGGTAAGCTTGTAATCAGAAAAACCAATAAAGGTAATTTATACAAAGCAAAAAATAAAAGCTATCTTGATCCCCAGTAGGGAAAGGAGGGGATCCTCTACTCTGACAGCAGGAATACACTAGAGGTCCCATCGCCTTCTGTGAAGGTGGCTTCTTTCTTCTCTGCCATCACTACAGTGAGGAGCAGAAACCAAGCTTGCAGTTGTTTGTCCAGATGGTTTTTTTTTTTTTCAACTATAAATCACACTCATCTTGGTGTGGCAAGCCGGCACAGGTGCTGGAGGAGCAGCCCTTGGGCCAGCCCCTCACTCCTCATGTTAAGGCATCTGTGCACCAAGGCCAGGAGACCCCCGTGCCCCCACTTACAACAGAGCCACGTGGGTAGTTGGGGAAATGCAGGTTCCAGGGCCCAACCCATCCCAAGAGCCCAGCTGCTAGCACTCAAGGAACACAAGCAGCTTTCCTTGTTTCCATCTCTGGAGACTCTAAGCAAAGACTCTCCTAGGGAGGGCTGGACTCTCACACAGGAGAATCCCAGTGCTGGTCAGGGACAGAGCTGTGAGGGAAACCAGCAGATAGCCATGACTGCCCATGTTGAAAAGGGTACGAACAATATGCTGTTTTCATTGGGGACAGAGGACCAGGTCGTGGGGCTGTTGAAGCTGAGGGAGGCTTGCCGAAGAATCATGAGCTTAGTCTTGATGTTTTGGCTTTGAGCCCAAGGAACCAGCTGGGGGAGACCCATTTGCCACGTAGGGCCCTGCTGGGTCAGGCTGGCCCTCCCCAGACCGCAGGACACCCTCCAGGGTCACAGAACGCACACAGACCCATGCCTTCTCTGCCCACTCTCAGTGCTCCGTCTGCTGTACCACACACAGGGGACACAAGACCACCCAGCCAGGTGCCCCCAGCCCTGTCCTGGTTCTCACCATCGCAGGGGCACGGCACACAAGGCGCCACCCTGCTAGGCAGTTCCCTAGCCTTGCCAGTCCACTGGCCCTATCTGACCCTACCCCCCATATCAGTGACGGGTATTTCCCTCAGCCCCCTCTGTCAGCCCCCATGAGTGGGGGATTCCTTGTCCCCAGTGGGACATCCCAGTGCAGGTTCTGTTAAAGCTCCCATGTCCTGTTGAATTCATGCTGCCAGCTTCCTCCCCTAAAGTGGAGATTTCTTCCCCAGGAACAGCTGGTATCTTGCCTCCTCCAAAGCCTGCATGCTTGTCACCTTTACTTTCCACCCCCCAGACAGACTGGGGTGTCTCTCAGGAGGGGACAGGGCAGGGTGGGCACAAGTCAGCACCAATATTCTCCCCTTACATATGCTCAGCCCGGAAGCCAGGTTACCACTGCCACTACCCACACACCCCGAGTCTCCACTTCCTGCTGCCTCAGCACCTCTGCCTTGTGCTAAACCCAGACTGAACACTAATGCATGCATAAAAGTATACCCTCACAGCAGAGAGAAGTCCCAGGGCAGTGCAGTCCCATGGGGCCCTCTGCAAGGACAAGGCGTCCCTACCTGCACTGGCCGCCACGACCACGAGTGGCTCCCAAGCACCTGGGATGGGCCGTGCCAGTGAAGACCTTGCCCTTCACATTGTTTTAGTTAATGAAATAAAGCGGCTCAGCTCTGGATCAACTCTGGCACGCTAACGTTTCAGGAACATCTGGGAGAATGTCTTCATCAAGAGAAGCAGTTTACAAATCTAAAAACCCTCTTCCCCTTCTCTCTCCCCCCAGTTTAATTCCTCCCTCCAAAACTTTGACTTTTTGTTATTTTTTAAAAGATTTTATTTATTTATTTGAGACAGAGACAGAGCACAAGCAGGGAGAGGAGGAGAGGGAGGAGCAGGGCTCGAAAACAGGACTCTGGGATCATAAGCTAAAGGCATACGCCTAATGGGCTGAGCCATCCAGGTGCCCCTCTTTTTATGTTAATACATCAGTTGTCTACTGTAGAAAAACTGACCGAAACATAAATTCACCATGAGTCTCCAACCAGAGAAGGCCATCATTCACTTGTTGCTATGTGGGAAAGTGGGGCTTTTCGCATTCCTGTTTTCTTACTTCATCTGCTGCTCTGGGGTTTCTCTGGCCTATTTCTTTACTGGAACATGAGCTCCAGCGAACATAGGCCTCTACACCCCCTGAGCCTGCAGGATGAGGGGGGCTCCCGAAGTGCCAGTGAGTGAGCTGGACAGAGGAATGAAGTCAGGTTCTCCTTCAGGGGGCCTTGGGGTGTGGCCAGACTCTGCTTCTCTGGGGCCTGGGAGCAGAGTGTAGAGGGAAGAGGAAGGGTATGAGGAACCCTGGTTCTGCCTGGCTCTGTCAGACACCGGAGGACCCAAGTGCTGGGGAAGAGGGCCCTCATGTTGCTGACCCAGCTTTTATCCAAATATGGGCCTCCTCCGAATAGGGAGAGCATGGAAGGATGAAAGAGAACCACTCATCCCTCTGTCCACCACGTGCCAGCTCTGCCATGGAGCTGTGCGGGGTGAAGTTGCCCAGGCCTGACCCCCATCCTCATACTTGCACCCAGAACAGCATGGAGTCAGCACGTGAGGGGCATTAGGTGCTTTACTGCTGCCAGGTGCTGGGGCCTCCTGCAAGGGTGTCCCTGGGAGCTGGGGCCCCCTGGCAGGCCAACCTAGAGCCTGGAAGCTGGGCGGATTCTGACAAGAACCACTGAAGCAGAGGACGGCACCAGCATGCTCACAGTGAGAGGGCAGGATGGGCCTCTGGGCACTTCTGCATGGCCCACTCATTGAGGCCACACTGATGGGCTGGGTCCGGATGACAGCGGCCTCAAAGGCCAACCGGGATGCCTTCCTCCAACCCTTGGAGCCGCATCCTATCCAGAGGCTCCACCACCTGAAGACATGTTCAGGTTTTCTTTAACACGTTAGAAATGACCCTGGGTTCCGAAAAAGACTATGTGGTAGGCACAGTAAGATGGGACTACGCAATTCATCACTGTACCACCCACTGTGCCTTGTCCTCAGCTCTTAGTAGGGAGCAACCATGGGGAGGCACAACAAAGACACTGCGGGGTGTGGGGCATGGGTGGCTGGTTGAGAGGTAGGGCGATGGCCAGGGGCCATACCGGGAGCAGGAGAACCAAGGTGTGAGGTGCAACCTACTAAAAGCAATGTTCTTGTCTGGTTCTGTGCTTCTCTGTTTCAGAGTTTTGTTCCCAGATCCTTAGCTCTGATGTGAAGCCAGGATTTCCCAAAACAATAAACCCTCATGATCCCGGAGTCCTCCAAGCAGCCAGACACAGCGTTGAAAGGTTCAACAACTGTACAAATGACATCTTCTTGTTCAAGGAGTCCCACATCAGCAGGGCCCTGGTCCAGGTGAGGGCCAGGGACACCCCTAGAGGCCAGGCTGCAGTGGCTCCCATCTTACCAGGGACCAACCCACTTAGTGCCCATCCACCTAGGACTCAGGCCCAGGCTGGGATGGGGACAGCAGCGGCCACAAACAGTCCATGAGTGGCCAGAGCCAGAGGCACCCAGGGCACATCTAGAAGGTCCAGAGCCACCTCTTAGGAAAGCATGCCTCTCCCGGGCCATCAGCACACCTGGAACTGAACCCAGGAGGGCAGGGCAGGAGAGGGCCTCTGCAGCTGGGTGAGCTGTGGGCGGGGGTGGGGGTGGGAGTGGGGTGGGGAAGCAGCATGCTGGCCCACAGGAACCCCTGGCACCGCCTGTCAGAGTCCCCACCCTGCACCGCAGCCACGGAGGACCTCTTGTCGTTCTCCGTCTGGGCCCCATCATCAGAGCTTTGCCCAGACCTCTCCCCCTTCCCCACATAACTCCCTCAGGAAAGATGGGTGAGGTGTCCCATTCTAATGCTAATAATTTTTACACATACTGATATTGGTTACCTCTGTGTAACAGGATTATTGGAAATTCTTATAATCCTTATTCTTTTCAAAAACTGCAAACTTTTTTTAAGAGCAGCCTATTTTTATGATTAGGCAGCATGTTGTAGAAAGGCAGGTTGGTGTGTGTGAGCTTGAAAAGCCTATTTCCCATGGAAATCGCCAGTGTCCTGTCTCCAGGGACTCGGCCCCAGGGGCCGTGGGATGATCCAGAGCCAGGTTTGCACCTCCTACAGGAACACAAGCCCCTGATGCTGTGCCAGGGCTCAAGGGCCAATGAGCGGGGGGGTAGGGTGTTACCCCTCAGTGATACTGGGGATTACTTTATTTCATCTGGTACTTGTACAGTCGAGGCTTTATTGAGAGACCACAAATGACAATCAACCAGGTTGCTGGTTCCACATGCAAGTGGAAAAGGTCTATTCTGAAACTGGGAGAAAAACAACCGACCACCGTTGGGGGGTAGGGTGGGGCAAGGGAGCAGGGCAGGGGGTACAGCAGGGCAGCACAAGCCACAGGTGGATGTTGGGCCTGGAGGGAACATCACCTCACCCTGGTGAGGCACAGGGGTCGGCCCTGCTCATGGAGAATTCTGGGTGGGAAGGAAATGTCCTGAGGACAGACACAGAGCCCCAGGCTCACCTGGGGACCAAGAACTGGAGCCATGAGCAGGAAGGACATGAGTGGGTAAGAAAGGAAGGGGGGACCGGGGACCCAGCAGCGGCTTCCCTCCCGGTTCTCTAAGTCCCAGACAGGCCTCCACACCCTCGGCCCATCAGGGGGGATATCCCAGCATCTCTGCCCCCTGCCTCCATGCCTCCTCCTGCTGGTGGAGGAGCAGCCACCCTAGCCACCCTGCTGTCCTGGACCAAGTAACACAGGTAGGGCCCTTTCTCCCCTTAGATCGTGAAGGGCCTGAGGTACATGCTGGACATGAAGATTGGCAGAACTTCTTGCAAGAAGACCCAGCACCCTAGTCTAGACAACTGTGACTTCCAGACCAACCAAACTTTAAAACAGGTAAAGCAAAGGGGTCTCACCTCCCTACACCCACTCCCCAGGGCTTTAGGAGACATCCCGTTATCACCTCCCTGCCTGCAAGGTTCCAGGTCTCACCGACAGCATCCGTGCAGTACCCACGGACCAGGGGCACACCCCACATGCTGGGATGGGGCAGGGGACGTTAGAACAAAAACAGCTTCCAGAGAGTTCACAAGCTACAGACACACTCAGGGAGAGAGCAATGCGACAAAGCTTAGTTTGCAAATGAAAGTGAAAAGCATATATTCCCAGATCTCTCTCTCTCAACTTCTCTATAGAGGTGAAATTTTCCAAAATACCAACTTGGGGTGGGAGGGCCATCATCAGGAAGAGGTGCATGCACACAGGCCCCAGCAGCGGCTCAGGGGACTCAGCCCCTGCAGAGCGGGGCAGGAGGGCCCCAGCAACAGAAGAGTCTTAGCGTGCCCCTCTTTGTTTCAGACTTTCAGTTGCTACACTGAAGTGTGGGTCATCCCCTGGCTCCAGAGGTTCGAGGTGCCCCTGCTCCACTGTCACTGACTCCTGCCTCTCAGCCAGGGGCACCTGTGCTCTGGACCATGCTCCGTCATAGCTCCGCCCTGGCTGTCACAGGCCCTCGGACTTTCTGGAAGTGGTATCTCCCCAGGGAGCAGAATGGAAGTGCCCATGGATACACTGCAGAACAGCTGGGGTGGAAGACCGACACTGCCTGGGATTATGTTATGTATTTCACATTTTCTTCTAAATCTAATTTCACTAATGCTCTGATGGGAATTTATCAGATTCCGGACCCCTGAGGGAGGCGTTTTCCTGTGCCCTCCCACCTGACTACCCGGTGGTCCCACATACAGCAGTGAAAGCCCAGAGATCTACAGCACTGGGCACGGGGATCAGGTCAGCTGTTATGCATCTGGACTTTTGAGGATGAATAAAATTATGAATAAATATGAAGAACTGACCAATCTCAAAGCAACAGCTATTGCTTTTGCCTGTTAAAGGGACAGTCGGGAAGGCAAGGTGAGTGTTGTGAGGGATCCCCCTCACTGAGTGGTCTAATGACTCCCATAAAGCCCCTTGGAGGCTTTTCCAGCCTTTCACTGCTAGCTAAAAGATACTAAAGACAGAACAGCCAGAAATAGGCCAGCCTGTGTTCACATCATGAACTGGTGGGGCAGGGAGCACCCCACCCAGAAGGCACTCACCTCCAGCTAGGCTTTCTTCTCACCAGGAGCCATACACCCAAGTTCTCTCCACTGCCTTTGAGGCTCAGCACGTGCAGAGATGTCCCCAGGCAGATGGGGTAAAGCAGAGTGCTAGGACCCCCCACACACACACAGCCCCTCAGGAAGGAGGGGCCCAGGTTTCAGGTGTACGTGCCGTGCCTGGGAAGAGGACGAGGAGACTACTGTGGGCTGGCAGGCACTAGCATCCTTGTAAAAGACAGCGCTCGAGCTGGTATTGTTAACAGTGCAAGGCTGGGCCACGGACATGCCCAGGAACCTACAGACAGAGATGGGCTTCACTCAGAGAAGACACTCGGCCTGCTACTGCTCCAGTAGGCCTGGGTTTGAATGCGGAGCCTCTCACTTTGGACTTCTTCCTCTCCAGGCCTCTTCAAACTATAGATTAGTACAAAATCCACTGTTACCTTTTAAAAATGTATGGACTTGGGGCACCTGGGTGGCTCAGTCGGTTAAGCCTCTGACTCTTGATTTCGGCTCAGGTCATGATCTTAGGGTCGTGAGATGGAGCCCAGCTCCACACTCAGCAGGGACTCTGCTTCAGATTCTCTCTCTCCCTTTCTCCCTCCTCCCTTCCTCTTTCTGTCTCTCTAAAATAAATAAGTCTTTAAAAAATATGGTCTTGATAATTCATAGGAAACAAAATCAGTATTAATATGTATAACAATTTAGTATGCAGTTGTAAACTTGATCAGTATGTACAAGCCAAAATGAATTACCCTTTGGCTTCCTTCAGGGAAGAGAGAGCTTTAATTCCAAATATATTCATTCATTTTTGCTGGCTCGAAAAATTTCCTCGTCATTTAATTCAGGGACATTGGTGACAACTATGCCAACTAGGCCACAAGAACTTTATTTGATGATTCTAAAGGCCATCCTTTCATTACGATAAATGAGTTCACCCAGCACTGTTGATCCCATACACACATACACAAGGTGACAGGAGCACCAGGAGTTAGAGCTTCAGAGTCAGATGGGCCTGGGACACAGCTGAAGAGGCAAGACTATGCAGCCAATGAAGGTTGGAACCCATGCTAACTCCCAGTCAGTGCTCATTAACATTTCAATACAGCCCAGAGCACAGGAAGGCCAGGCCTCTCCTTAAAACTTACTTAGGCCTCCAGGCCTGTGAGGCCCATTTGGCCTCACCTGGCCTCAAGGTCAGAAATGAGAATGCACACACAGGTGTGGGGGAGGGTAGCCTCACCGCATTTCTGCTCTGAGCTGAGTTGCATATGAACTCCCCCTTTGCCCAGCCAGGAGCTAGGGCTGACCTTCCCTCTGGGGACAGAGAGGGAAACCTCAATATGAATCTCAAAACTCTCAGTTTTCAACCGTAAATTATGCCCACAATATTCAAAACATCATTTGGGGTCAGGTATCTAAAATCTCTTCCTATAAAGTAAACAGAAATCTTAGAACTAAGGCTAACCAGCTACTGCAGAAGCCAGTTGACCATGTGTCCCCCAATCTCAGGCTTCTGCAAACCTTCTGCAAATCTTCTCTACATGGGGGCCTCGGGCCCTGAACTCTACTTTAAAATACATCAGCTGCTTTATTATTCCCTATCTGCTTTATGTACTATACCTCACAGATGACAATGCTGGACTTTAAATAACTCTTATACCAACCAGTGACACCAGAAGGAAAGGAGCTGAGCCAGTGAGCAAGGGTGGGGCTACTCTGATTTGTGGAAGCCAACAGCTGATGTGCCCTGTCCTCCACCGAGACACATCTACCAACCACACTACCACAGACGTTTTGCTACAGCTTCCTATAGAGCAGGTCCTGTGGGCACGCTGCTTGTTCTATCTATGTTAACTTTGCTCCCCATGAAAGACTGCTCTCCAGACTGAGCACACCAAAATCCAATCTGGGAAGAGACTGGCCAGAGAGCCACCTTGTAGGATTCAAACAGATGAAACAAAATGCCCACATGGTGATGGTATAACTTACCTAGGTAGCAGATATCAACCAGTGACATGAAGTCTAGCATTGCCAACCCAATTTTACCTATTTTAAACTTAGAGCTTCACCCGGACTCAGAGGGAAAGACTCTGACCCAGAGGGAAGCTGTGACATCACCTAATGTTAGTCTCACTGAGAAAATGTAAAAGTTAAGTACCCAGGATTCTAAGACCTACCAGAATCAGGACTGAAGAGAAAAAATAATAAAGGTCTCAAAAACTGAGCAAAACCAGTCAAAATTCTAACAGTCTTGCCCAGAGTGTTCTAGAGCTTTCCCTGGCCATGTCCCATACCTCCTCAGTAGCTATACACAGACCCTCAGGGATTCAGCTCTACTGGCCCTCCTCCAGGTATCCACCCAGCTTAGCCCCTCTTTAGGGTACAAGTGGGCCCCAACAGTGATGAGTGCCCCACCACTGCCACAGGGACCGCTTGTGAAGCTTAAAACCACAATGATGCCAGGCCACTCCAGAAGACTGGGAACCCCAGAGGACTTTTTTTTTTTTTTAAGATTTTATTTATTTATTCATGAGAGACACAGATTGTGAGGCAGAGACATAGGCAGAGGGAGAAGCAGGCTCCCTGCAGGGAGCCCAATGCAGGACTCAATCCCAGGACCCAAGGATTGTGCCCTGAGCCGAATGCAGAGCTCAACTGCTAGCCAGCCAGGTGTCCCACTCCAGGGGACTTGGATGTGTAGCCAAGGTCCAACCCCTGGGCTGGGCAGTGATCATCACAGAGCCGGGTCCTGGGAACACCACCCTGCCTCATCTCCCAGCTTCCCCAGCAGATTCTGAAGTCAGAGTATGGGTCCTGACTCAGCAGTGTGCTGGCACTGTGTGCCCAGGGAGTCTGGGCAAGTCACCCTCACCCCCAGCCTCAGTTCCCCCCTGTAAAACAAGTTTATCTCCTCCCATCAGTAAGAGGTCAGTGTCTGTGAAAACACTTTCTAAACTACAGACCACTCTGCTAATGTATGTTGATGATAAACATCTTAAAACGCAGTACCTGAGTCCCAATGGAGTTTTTGTAATAGATAATAAAGAAGCACACAATGAATGAATCACTTGATTTAATTTTAAAAGCATGTTAGTAATTCACATTAGAACAAATCTGCATGATGTTTACAACAAAAGCATATCACATATTTAAACCTAATAAGGCTATACTTTGCACCTCACCATGGCAAATTACCAGATAAAACATAGGAAATGACACTGAGACAGAAAATCAACATCTTAGTAAAAATCAAGACTCCTTTGCTGAACACTGTGAAAAGCAACTTACCAGCTTCTTTGCATTGGTAAAAAGCAAGCACTAAAAGCAAAGCCCTTTGTTCTCAATCAAAAAGTCAACTTATATATGCTCCACACACTTTAAATCGTTTTTTATGACAAAATGATCAGGTTTTACCTTATTCCTGGACAGCTGATATATGGGTTGCACCATTATCTATTAAAAAGTATTTAATAATCTATATTCAACTTTTTTTCCTCTAAAGTAACATAAGTAACATTGAGTCATCCACCTAATACATTCTGGGTCACATCAACTGGACTGAAGCTGATCTGAGTCTGTCCTACTGCTACTGCAAAATAAAGGCATCCCTGAGCAGGCAAAACAACAAAATGAGCCAACTTCCAGATCCCAACTCTTTCCCCTAAAATGAGGCCAGATCAGCATGGGGGAGGGGGATGGCCACTGTTGGGAAAGGAAGCAGAGGGGATGCTGCCAGCCAGTGCAACCTGACACACACAATGCAGATGTTACCACAGCTATCAATCTTCTCCCAACTGTAGTATCATTACCTACATAAAATATTTCCTTATCAAGTAACTGAAAACCATTCCAGACACGCTGTCTTCTGGGCTCTCACAAACACCCAGGACAGAGAGGAACAGATACCAGCCCCATTCTGTAGGCTGGAACAGGAACGCAATATAGTATCAACTTGCCCAAGGGCGAGCACTGCCAGGAGGTGATGGCCAGAGGTGGCTGCCCTGTGAGGGACCCTGAGCAAGCCAGATGGACTGAACTGCTTGTCCCTAAGCAAGGTCCTGGTCAAAATGATCCTCTCATATCAGCCCTCAATGGAATCAAACTCCAGTCACAATTCATATAATTACATTACAGGCAACACCATCCAAAGAGGGTAATGAGCAAAGTCAATTTAATTATCATTATTATATGAGTCCCCTGACAAAATCAGGACCAGTGTGTAGACATACTTATCAGAAAATACAGCAACTTCAAGCTTGTGACACTCTAGCAAACGACATTAACATGTGCATCGTTCACCTGTTGGTCTAGAGGTAAAGAGCAAAGGTGTGTCAACAGGACTCCCCTAGATTCTGCCCTGTAGTACCCAGCTGCTGGGTGGTAGATTGTTCAACAGAGAGAAGTCCGGCAGGTCCTCTCTGAGCTGATGGGATCAACATGCTTCTTTGTTTTTTTTTAAGATTTTATTTATTTATTTATTTATTTATTTATTTATTCATTCATTCATTCATTCATTCATTCATTCATGAGAGACACAGAGAGAGAGACAGAGACACAGGCAGAGGGAGAAGCAGGCTCCATGCAGGGAGCCCAAAGCAGGACTCGATCCAGGACCCTGGGATCACACCCTGAGCAGAAGGCAAACACTCAATCACCCAGGCGTCCTGATCAACATGCTTCTATGCACTTACTCAGGTCCTTGCCTTTAAATGGTTGATAGGGACTCAGGAGTCCTGAAAACCCTCTGGTTCAAAGTGGGGCTGAACTGGAGTAAGCTGGAGGGTATGAGCTACGGAAGGGAATGTCCATGTCCCACATAACTCTGGAGAATACAGCTCTATCACTTGCACAGCTCCACCCACTGGCCTAGACACATTTCTGCACTGAGCTCTCCTTGCCCTTACTGTGCCACTCCCCCCAAAGACCAGTATTACCCCATTTTATAGTAAAGATACTGAGGATGGCAGGACAGGCCAGTAGCAAAAACAAAATCCCTGGACATCTCATCTACTGCTCTATTTACCAAACCCTGAGGCCTATTATAAGTGCATGGAGTCTCCTAAGTCCTAGAGAATCACTGTACTTAGAAAGGTTTTTTTTTAAGGGAAAATGGTTTAACATGGACTTATTATCCTTGTGGCATATTATGCTTCCATCTAAATGCAATATCCAACCCAAGTGAGGGATATCCTATAGGAGCCCAGATATCCACAGGGTCTCACCATCCACTTCCAAGGACCAGCAGGTGCAGGTAGAAAGGGCTGTGTGCATGGTATCTCCTGGACCAGGAGTGGTGCCCAGTGTGAGGACTCCTGGCACAGCCACGGTCAAGGCTGCTAGACAGACTTGAGGCTGAGTCTGCAGAGGAAGGGGGCCCTGAAGGAGCCCAGGTATAGGTGCCCGTTGTACTCGTGCACTTCGCTGACGTAGGAGGCCACCTGCCCAGTGGGATCGTGCAAGCTTCTCCGGAAGGCCCCGCTGTTGCTGAGTTCTAGTACGAGGCTGTACCGTGGTACAAACTTCATCACAGTCTCCTGACTAAACAGCTGGGAGGGAAGCACAGTGTGAGGAGAGGTTAATTTCTGACCAAGAGAGCAGCGTGAGCAGATCAGGCCTTTACTCAGTTGAATTTTGTTTTTCACAGATGCCATATCCCCTCACCATCTTGTTAAGGACCCAGCTCCTCCAGTGACAGGAAAGCCGCACAGAACAGAGCCAGGTTAAACCAGCTCCCTGCCCCTGGCAGAGGGCCTGTTGCTCTGCAGGCCTCTCCCACTTCTGCCCCCAGGCAGAGCAGGCCAAGGAGACTCCTGTCACCTGCATCCAGAGCAAGGCAAGCCCAGCACAAACTTTCCAACAGTCCTCTCCATGGTGCCTACCAGACCCAGTGCAGATGCCACTCTGGATGACCTGGCTGAACTGAGAGAAGGATTTAGGGCTCCTCACATCCAAGGAAAACATAACATTGAAGCCAGGGCCACAGTGACGTGGACCCCAGAATGCCAGGTTAAAACCAGCACAGCCTAACCAGAATAAACGCCAAGCCCTCAGGCTAGATATAGAATATTTCATATGTGCAAGGTACAAATGATGGAGATTGTGAGAGTGGTTCATGTTAAAGAGAAAAGACCTGGACAGGTTAAATGAATGTGTCCTTGCCCTCCACCGCTTCCCTGCCGCTGATCCCTGGCAGCTCTACCTGAAGCCAATGTAGAGATAGATGGAGGGAAACACCTCCATGCTGAGCGAGGCACCCTCTAGGAGACCTGTGGCTCAGCTGGGTCAAGGGACACACAGGGCTACTGAAGGGTTTTAAGGAGAGAAACCGGAGAGTGAGATATGTAATTTCCGACAGAGCAGGACACCCGGGAGGAAATGATGACAGTATGCTACTGCATAAGGCCAATGAGTGAAAATTAATAGGCAGATGTCTACCTTTTAATGTAAGAGGAAACAGCCAAACAACTGTAAATATCCAATGAATAATGTCTCCTAATCATTGGAAAGGTCTAAACAGTCATACAAGTTGATTATGTTCTAGAAAGTTCTATGGCAATCAAAGTTGATTATAGCTTAAAATACCCCATAAGGCTTCCCATAGCCCATGAAATGCCACCTATTTCAGTGCTAGGTCCTCTCTTCTCTGCTCTCCCCATCTTATCCCCTAAGACATCACACCCTTTCTCCTAGGTTTAAGCTGCTTTCCCAGAAAGCTCTCAAATCTCCACCCCAATTTCCAACCCCTGGTACTGACCCATCTTCACTGGGACTTTCTAACAGCTCTTCAAACTTGTCAGATACCTTGGCTAGGGAGACAGGGCCCCTGACATCATCTGCTGATGCTGAGAACCCAGCCCTCATGCCTGATCCCTTCTCTCCAGAACCTGCCAGCCCGGCACCACAGGGTCTTGTCATGTGCTATGTATGTACCACCCCGCACTCCAGGCTCTGCCTCACCACCTTTCCTGGCTGCTGCAGCCTCCTCCACACCAGGCTCTTCATAGCCAGAGAAGCCATGCTATAGGCTGCCCTTCACATACTGGTCTCTTTAAAACTTTGTGCTACATAATGCCCTGAAGTGGCTTACAGGGCCCAGCAAGGTAGGTATGTGCAGAGGCTGGAACCACTTATGGCCCAGACCACAAGTCAGTCCAAGCAGGGTTAGGGAGAGTACACACTGGGGGAAGGGAGAGGGCAGTAGGGCAGTGGCACAGAATAGGGCCACAGTGGGGTGGCCTGGCACAGGCTGGCAGAGCCCAGACAGTGTAAGGAGGGTGTTTACCTGGTGCCCGTCAACGCAGCCATCAATGGCCTCATGTGGTTGAGAAGAAAGGCCCAGCAGGGGATGCTAGAGTCCTAGCAGGGGCCTGTGATGGGGGACAATGGCCACAGATAGGTGACGTTCAGGAAATCTGATCAAGCAGGTATGAAGGATAATAGGATCTAGATGTTTCACTATCAGAGAAGGGAAGTACTAATATGGAAGTGAAGAAAACTAGAATCCCGTAGTATGGAACTGGAAGCCAAAATAGCATCTATTATAGTTTTCAATTAAAATAAACAGATGATGAATAAATGAACATGTATAAACATGTGTATGTACACCATATATATATTTGACCCTTGAACAACACTGGTCTGAACTGCAGCAGATCTACCTATATGTAGATTTTTTGGATAAATACAGTGCCATAAATGTATTTTCTCTTCCTTATAATTTTTTAATAATATTCTTTCTCTAGCTTACTTTATTGTAAGAATACAATATATAATACACATAACATACAAATTATGTATTAATCAAGTGTCTGTTATTGGTGAGGCTTCTGGTCTACAGTAGGCTGTTAGTAATTAGGTCTTCGAGGAGTCAAAGATTATATGCAGATTTCTGACTGCACAGGGGCCAAATCCCCTAACCCTCATGTTGTTCAAGGGTCAAATGTATTTTTATATCTATGAATATATGTGCATATGTTCCCGGT